CCGCTCAACCCTAAGCCCTAAATCCCCTTAACGCTTAAACCCTAAACCCTACACCCCCAAACGCTAAACCCTAAGCCCTAAATCCCCTTAAAGCCTAAACCCTAAGCCCTACACCCTCTGAACCCCGAAACGCTAAGCCCTAAATCCCCTTAACGCTTAAACCCTAAACCCTACACCCCCAAACGCTAAACCCAAAACCCTAAACCCTAAACCCTAAACCCTAAACCCTAAACCCTAAACCCTAAACCCTAAACCCTAGGGTTTAGGGTTTAGGGCCCTGGGACTCTGAGGCTGGGGCTTTGATGGCTGCGAGCTTTGGAGCTTCGGGGTTTAGGGTTTAGGGTTTAGGGTTTAGGGGGGGTTTTAGGGTTTAGGGTTTAGGGTTTAGGGTTTAGGGTTTAGGGGGGTTTGGAGGGGTTTAGGGTTTAGGGGACATTGAAGGCAAGGCTTGTAATTGGCATTGAAGGACTTTGGGTTTAGGGCATAGGGATGTAGGGATTTAGGGATTTAGGGTTTAGGGTTTAGGGGTCTGGCCTTTCAGAGCTTAGTGGCGACACCTTCTATGAGCCCGAAAACTCGGATCTAGAACCCGTCTCGGACCCACGTCACGATGCGACAGGGCCGTGCAAAGTCCCGGGATCAAGAGCTCGTCGTGCTGACGCAGGCGAGGACCGTGAGGTTTGATTCGGCTCTTAGGGTGTACTCATCAAGGGACTAAAGGAGGGACCCTTAAAGGGACCCTTGCTGTTATATAGGGGCTTTATGAGACTATTTCAGAGGGTAGATAAGAGGTACATAAGATTATATAGGGTATTTGGATTAGGGGTCCCTTCTAGGGGTCCCTCCTATTGTCCCCTAAACTCAGCCCGAATTCCGTTAGCACGAACCTTGCCTGATTGCTATAGGGGCCTTAATAATGACTTATAGTAGTTTGGGAGTTCGTGATTATACTTATGGTATAATGGGCCCCAAAACCCTACTTTAATTAAGGCCCCTACTGTAAACCCTAAACCCTTTTAGTAGCCCTTAAAGAACCCCTACTGTAAACCCTAAACCTCTTAGTAGCCCTTAAAGACCCCTTTAAAGAGCCCTTAGAAGGAGCCCCAAAACCCTGTTCTAATTATTAATAACCCTAAACCCTAAACCCTAAACCCTAAACCCTAAACCCTAAACCCTAAACCCTAAACCCTAATTAAGGCCCCTATATTAGACATCCTGCACTTGAGAGGACCTTCGCCGACTCGGGCGCTAAACCGCCACGGTTGGGTAGGAGTCTGCTAATGCTTGTAAGGGGTTGTAGGGTTTAGGGTTTAGTGCTTTAGGGTTTAGGGTTTAGGGGTTTAGGGTTTGAGGGCTTGAGTAATTTAGAGCTCCCAACTTGCCTAACGGTAAGAAGCTGCCAAGAAATGCGAGTCTAAACCGTGAACCCCTGCACCTTCAACCCCGAAGTAAACCTCAAACCCTAAAAACATATATATATATATATATATATATATATATATATACAAATAAGTCCCACAACCTACGCTCCAGCCTTGTGTAGGCTGCAGCCGAGGATCCAGGAACATAAACCAGAAATCCTGAACCCGAAACCCTAAATCCACACCCTGGTTTAGGGTTCAGGTTTGGGGTGGAGATAAATTTCACGGTTTAGGGTTTAGGGTTTAGGTTTGGGGTGGAGATAACTTTCACGGTTTAGGGTTTAGGGTTTAGGGTTTAGGTTTGGGGTGGAGATAAAAGTGGAGTAGAAGCCCAAAGTTGGAAGCCCAATAGCTTCAATCCTTAAGCGTAATTAATGTGTAGGGAATCCCAGCACAAATGGCCCGAAATCCGGTTTCCAATATATGTTGGGGTTTACCTCAAGGGATCCTAGTATAATGACCCTAAACCCTAAACCCTAAACCCTAAACCCTAAAGTAAGGTACATTCCTCTTATTTTTGGTATGTTCCTTAAGGAGCTTTGGAGTTTATGGGTCCTTTCAACGGCGAGGTCTTAGCCCACGAACTGACCGTCGGCATCTTGGCCAGCAGATGAGGATCCGAGGGTATAATCTATAACCCAACCTCGAGGATTCTGGTTTAGGGTTTAGGGTTTAGGGGTTTAGGGTTTAGGGTTTGGAGGGGTCTAGGGTTAAGAGTTTAGGGTTTAGGGGTTTAAATAGGGTTTAGGGTTTATGGTTTAGGGGTTCAGGGTTTAGGGTTTAGGGCTTAGGGTTTAGGGAATCTCCAGAGCATATTCTGGCGTCACTTAGTTCCCAAATACCCAACCTTTAAACTTTTTTGGTTCTTATAGTTTAGTAGCAATCTGAAAGTTTAGCCTTTTATTTCCCTGGCTGATTGGGGACGTAAGGGATTCTCCAGAGCATATTCTGGCTTTATGGTTCTGAGGCTGCTTATGTGCAGAGGTGTAGGGTTCGGGGTTCATGAGCTTCGGGTTGAGATGAGAAGGGGAATGAATGACTAAGCATAGCTCGGGTCGACGATGCAAGGTCGAGTTCCACACAGGGTTTTTGATTGAGTACCAACATAGGGGTCGGCATAAGTACCACTGTTTTCTTTCTTACGGCTTCTTGTCATATCTAGATGATAGAGTACCCAAAAGCCCTGTTCCAATTACTTATCAAGGCCGGGTGGACGAATTTCTGCCTGGATGAACTTCGTCGTTATGTTTTGTTTTTCAGATTTCTTTGGCACCCACCACAGACATCTCCACCGAGCTGCAATATCCGGAGCCGATAGCAGTCCCATTCCTCACAGGGTTCTTGAATATGAGTCCAGTATACTATACCCTCGAAACCTATTCTCGTTATTAAGGCTCCTGTACTGCACCCTGCACCCTTTAACAACAGTAAAACACAGCAACACCACAATGCAACCTATAGAAATTCAGTCGAGGGCCCCATTTTCAGGACCTCCAGTTGAGGGAAAAAGGGAGGTTCTCGGGTTTCGGCGTGTTTCGGGGTGGCTTGGGGGGTGTTGTTCACGGGCTTAAGGGCATCTTGCAGTTGTTCTTTAGGGTTTAGGGTTTAGGGTTTAGGGTTTTAGGGTTTAGGGTTTAGGGTTTGGGCTTTCGGGTTGAGAGCTTCGGGTGATCGCTGCCGCGGCGAAGGGTTTTGTTAACACAGCTTGCTGATGGCTGCATTCTTGCCCTGTCACTTAGAGGGTCGTGGGACTTAGTAATAACTAATTAGGGTCATCATAACCCCAATAGTTTACGACTTGTCACTTTACTGGCTTAACCCCCAAGTACAGGAAGAAGGAATCTTCATTAAACTTCCAATTTCTTATAACCCCAACAAAAGTAGTTGCAACGTTACTGGCTAAGTCCCATGAGCCTACAAGCACAGGAAGAATCTCAGAAGGAATCCTTCAAACCATCAGCCGAAGCACCGTAAACCCTAATCCTAAACCCTTAGCCCTAAACCCTTAAACCCCAAGCCCTCAACCCTCAACTCTAAACCCTAAACCCTAAAAGCCCTAGTCCCACTCCCTGAGGTCGAAGGATTCTTGTGGGTTGTATTAGGGCCTTTGAGGGGCCGTTTACAGGGTTTTAGGGTTTAGGGTTTAGACAGTACATAGTAGAAGCCTAAACGTTGGAAGCCCGATAGCCTCAGTCCTTAAGAGTAATGTACAAGGCATCCCAGCACTATTTGTCCTTAATCCGGTTTCCAACTTTTGGGAGTTTGCGGAGTTTTAGTGCCTACATCTCTTGAGGTGCTACTAAACCCAAAACCCCAAACCCTAAACCCTCGACCCTAAACCCTAAACCCCAAACTCTAAACCCTAAACCATAGACTTAAACCCTACGGACTTTTAGGGCCTACATTTCTTGAGGTGCTCGGGGGTCCAGACATGGTGACACCCTGAAGCCCCCAAGCCCCAAATCCCGAGACCGTGCACTGCATCTCAACCTTAGGGTTTAGGGTTTAGGGTTTAGGATTTAGGGTTTAGGGTCTAGGGTCTAGGGTCTAGGGTTTAGGGTTCAGGGTTTAGGGCCATAAACCAACGTGCCAACACTAGAGTAAAGCCGAGTAAGCCGTAGTGTACACTTTGTACTTGCGCTTTCTTTTCAAATCACAGTCGCAGTTATTGACCCCACCAGAAGACGACTGTACGAATAACTAATGTAGGGCTATTAGGATCCGTATAAAGAGTCCAAATTCCAAACCAGCGGTTTCTCAGGCACTCTCCTCTATTCGGCCTAGCTATCTGATCTTGGTAGGTTTGTAATCCTGAAGTACTGCCATGTTCGCATGCAGGCTACACTACGGAGCTGTGTAAAGCCCAAGTACAGACCGTGTAGGACTCCGAAAAGACAGGCAGGAAATATAGGGGCCCAAATAATTACCAATAATATTGTGGGGGCTCCTGATTATCATCATAGTATAATATATCCCGAAACCCTGTTCTACTTATTAAGGCCTTCTATTATAGTACCCTTATAGCTCCCTTATAGTAGCCCTTACAGACCCCATTTAAAGGGAACCCTATTCTAATTACAAAGGCCCCATGTAAGGATGGGACAAGGTAGGTCTGATATGCGAGTTTGCTGTTCCGCGCCAGGCTCGGCTCCCGGAGAGCAAAAAGCTTTAAATCCCAAACCCTAGATCCTAAATCCTATAAACCGTATAAACCCTAAACCCTAAACTAAAGCCTAAAGCCTTCAAAAAAACCTAAATCCTAAAGCCTAAACTCTAAACCCTAAAGCCTAAAGCCTAAAGCCTAAAGCCTAAACTCTGCGGCTCCGAAAGGGTGTAGCTGTTGCTTTGTGGAGTTTGGGGGGTTGCAGTGGAAGGTCCAGGTTTGAGGGTTTAGGGTTTAGGGTTTAGGGTTTAGGGTTTAGGGTTTAGGGTTTGGGGTTTACGGCTACAGATTTAGTAGGATTTGGTGTTTAGAGAAGGGTGTAGGATTCGAGGCCTTCAACGGGTTCTTCTTTGGACCAGTCAGAAGCTTGCCGGTGAGCACTTGCCGCGGGTTTAGGGTAGAGGGTTCAGCCAGGCATGTCGAAAACCATGGGCTGCGACAGCAGGGTACGTGCGGAGGTGTCCTGGGCCTTGACTGGAACTACCATTGGCAGACTGTTCCTAGATCCTCATACAACCGTGAGCAAGTTGAAGGAGATGCTCGAAAGGCCAGCAGAGACGCCTTCGGAGTTTCTGGAGATTCTTTGCGATGGGAGCAAGCTCAAGGACCCTGCACCCTTCGAGCCACATACATTTAGCAAAACACGCCGGCCATAACCCCAGCACCATAAGAAAACAGCAGATACTCAAAACCTTAAACTCCAAACCCCAAAACCCTAAAACGGCTAAACCCTAAACCCTAAACCCTAAACCCTAAAGCCCTAAAGACCGTTAGGACTCTGCCTGCACCTCCAGCTTTGCTGCCTCTCGTTTTGTGGCGTTGCTGGCCCTGCACCGTGAGCCTCCGAACCTCCTTGGCTTCCTCAAGGAGGTACGGTTACGTTTTTAGGGTTTAGGGTTTAGGGTTTTGGGTTTTGGGTTTTGGGTTTAGGGTTTCGGGTTTTGGGTTTAGGGTTTACAGAAGAATCAGGGTCCCTTTTAGGGTCCTTTTTATAAGGGTACCGTACTATATTGGGGATCTAACGAGCTAAGGTGGTAAAGAGCAATCCAGTTACAATCGCAGTAAGAAGCGGAATCATCATAATCATCATCAGCACCGTCATCATCAGCATGCTAAGACCAACAGCAAGATTAATATAATTGCAACAGCGATATATGGCCAAGCCCTATAGGGCTTAAGGTTTGGAGGTTTTGGGTTTGGGGTTCAGGGTTTAGGGCAGTGCAAGAGCCCTACGGCCTAAACTCGAAAAGGCCTTTCCCCCGAGAACTTTAATCGCTAAGTTCGGCAAGCCCCAAGCCCTGAACTGTTCAATTATACAGCCTTTAAACCCTGAACATCCCGGAACCGCAACCCAAGCCGGTCACCGTAAAGGTAACAAAACCCTCAAACTTAACCCTAAACCCTACACCTTAAACCCTAAAATTCCCAGACCCTAAACAACCCCAATCCCGCCCCAGACCTTCTTAAGCCTAAGGCCCTAAACCCAAATCTTGGGTTTAGGGTTTAGGGTTTAGGCGATTAGGGTTTAGGGGCTTAGTAGTTCAAGTCAACACCATGGAGCCGCAAGCCCTGTAGGTATGGCAGAAACTGCTGCACGGATCCCTGTTCCGCAGATCCCAGAGCATTGCGCTTGAAAGCAGAGATGCGTGGCTCGTGTCTTACATCATTGCATCAGATCGCGCCGGCATTCAGGTAAACCAGCTTGACACTTGGCCTTGGGATGACTTCGATGATTGGTGCCTGAGTTTGTAAGCTTTACACTCTTGATGTGTCGCCCTGTAATTTTGAGAGCTGTACATCGAGTAACATCGAGCTTTTCCTTCAACTGACACTTAAGGACGAAATGAACCTCAAAAGGGTTTCAGGTTCATATACCATATAGAGATTCATAGTATAAGGTTATAGGGACCCTACTTGTATGGGTCATTTCGTCCCCAAGGCAGGAGCCACTAAGGTGTCATTTTGGCACCTGCAAGAAGTGCACAGCCTTGCATTATGCAGCTCTTTGTGGCCAGGCTCAGCAAGTTGGAAACCCTAAACCCTAAACCCTGACCCAGAAGGCTTAAACGCATGAAGACAAAACCCAAAAGCCCGTAACCTCCATAGACCTGAAACCCTATAAACCCTGAAACCCTGGAGCACTAGCCCTAAACCCTGAAACCCTGAAGCGCTAGACCCTAAACCCTGAAACCCTGAACCCTGAAACACTAGACGCTAAACCCTGAAACCCTAAACCCTGAAACCCTAAACCCTGAAACCCTGAAAGTGCTCTAAGCCCGAATCCCTAAGGCTGTTATGGATTTCTGGTTAAGGGGTTTAGGGCTTTAGGGTTTTAGGGCTTTAGGGGTTTAGGGTTTAGGGTTCAGGGGTTTAGGGTGTGGGGGGTTAGGGTTGATAGGGGTTTATAGGGTTTAGGGTTGGGGGGGTTGGGGTTAATAGGGGTTTATAGGGGTTTAGGGTTTGGGGGGGTTAGGGTTGATAGGGGTTTAGGCGTTTAGGGTTTAGTGGTTTAGGGTTGATAGGGGTTTATGAGGGTTTAGGGTCTTAGGGTCTTACGGTTTAGGGTTTGGGGATTTTGGTAGTTTGGGGTCTAGGGGTTTAGGGGTTTGGGGCCTAGGGTGCAGGGGCTTTGGGGTTTGGGGGTTTGTGGTTTAGTGTACATGGTTTAGGGGTTCAGGGTTGCAGGGTTTAAGGATTTGAAGTTTGCCTCCGAAACCCTAAGCCGACCAGCTGTTTAGGGCTTAGGGTTTAGGGTTTAGGGTTTGGGCCAGGCAGAAACTTGCCAAGCTCTGCTGGACCATTCGGCTTTTCGATGTGCTGATGCCCTCGCAGACGTGCACATTCACCCCACTAGGCGTGACTTTTGCGGGGAGTCTTGCACAGCCCTTCATGCAGCCGTTGCATGGGACAGGAGCGAGGTTTGCTCGGTTCTTCTGAAGCATCCCAAATTTATTGGTGTGGCCACGGCCAACGCTGCGGGGCAGACGGTCCTTCATATGGCCGTCCTTCGGGGGTCGCCGGCGATGGTGGAGGAGATCCTGAGAGACGGTCGGGTTGATGTCAATGCGAGGACACGAAGCGGCGACACAGCACTGGACCTAGCCGTGCTCATTCGTGAGCATTCAGCAGATTTGCACCACGCCCGGTATGAAAGAATCGTGTCCAGGATAGCGGAACACGCAAGCCGCGAGGCCTTTTGGGACTTGCTCCACGAAGCCGCAGCTTTCCCGGACAGGCGGCTCCTACGCATCGCCTTGGGGTGCCGTCATGGCATGGACAAGTTTCTGGCCGGTGTGCTTGTTAAGGGCCGTTGGGACACAGAGTTGTTGCTTTCAGATTTCATGACAGCGAAGGATTCTCGCTGCCGAAAGCGTGCACTGCAGAAACAGAAGCAGTACCGGAAGAAGCAGGCTCTCCTGGCAACGGCCCTCAGGAAGCAAAAGCTGAAGAGGGGATCAACCGCTGCAGATGAACCAGCGGATGTGCCCAAGCGCCGCTACCGGACTAAAGCAAGCAACGGCTGGAAGCTGACCGAATATGATTTTTGGTGTTGAATCCACACCCTAAAGCCTAAAGGGCCTAAAGCCTAAACCCTAAACCCTAAACCCTTATGCTTTGAGAGGGACCTGTACAGTGTACAGCAGCACCGGTCCGGCAACCCGTCCTATTTGATGTCAAAAAGGTGGCGGCTGAGGGGCCCCTGCTTTCAAATCCTTCGTCTTAGATAGGCAAGGGAAGAACTTTCAAATCTTTTGGCCTCATATACTTGGTCTATCTTAAAGTGGCAGAACTTTTTTTTTGGGGGGGGGGGGCACAGTTATTGAAGAAGAGATTCGTGGAACCATAACGCCTCACGCATCCTCACGCTGACTGTGGTTGGCGTTAGGTGTTCACGGTTTGGAAGATTTGCTGAGTGAAGCTTTTTGATTCACATACGAGCATAATGCTTCTGCTTGTTAACAATTGGTGGCCGTTCCCTAAATGTAGCAGACCTGCTTTCGAGGCACTTGTTACAACCTCTCTACCAAAGGAATCTTAGGTAGGTCTTGGGGATATTTCACCACATGTTTCCTTATTGGGCCTAAGAGGATCTTACTTACGAATATCCTTCAAAGGCCATACAGGGCCGACTTGGGAATGCAAACTCTGTTCAACCCTAAACCCTGCATTGCACAGCCACGTAAACCCTCAACCGTGCAGGGGGCTGTTCTCTCTGCACTGCCTACCAAGTCCCACGTAGGGTTTCTCTCAGGCTCTAAACTCTAGACTTTAAACCTTAAACCCAAATCCCTTCAACGCAAAACCCAAAAGCCCAAACCTTGAACCCCAGTGCAGCCTACAGCCAAAGCCTAAAACGTAAGCTACAGCCGGCAAGAGCGAAGTTTACTTTTCGAAATCTGGTGCCAATCCAATATTCTGAAGATTGACGGTTTCTGATTTAGGGTTTCGCGTCTCGGGTGTAGGGGTTGCAGGGTGTCGGGTTTGGGGTTCTGGTTTAGGGACAAGAGTTTTAGGGTTTTGGATACTGGCTCTCCTTTCAACACTCAGCGGATGGTGCTGTTACTGTTGCATCTTGCATGGCATGTATTGTAGACTGGGTCTTTCAATGCCCGAAAATGTGCTTTTGAGCCTTCACTTGATAGCCGAGCTTGGAACAACAGTTCTGCACGTAATATAGGGGCCTAAATAATCTATACTATTTGGGGCTTCCTGATTATAACTATTTAGCATAATATACCTCCCAAAACCCTATTCTAATCATTAAGGCCCCTACATTAAGCTGGTCAAGGGTTGAGGGATTACGGCTTTGGGTTTCAAGTTTTAGGTCAGATCCATATAGCAGGTCGGTTTCAGTAATCATTATAGCAAAAAGGGTCCCGAAACCCTCTTCTAATTATTAAGGGCGCTACATTAGGTTAAGCATAGGAGGCGAGTTTGCAGATCCGGCTAACGCAACGAGCCGTCCCCACTACGAGATCCGCACCAGCAAAGGCGAATCTAATGTAGGGGCCTAAACAATTACCAACACAGTTTTGGGGGGGCTCCTTGTTAGACTTATAGTATAATATACCCCCAAACCCTATTCTAATTATTAAGGCCCAAATGGTACCTCACAATCTAGGTCGTTTGCGGTCCTAGGTTCCTTATGAAAAAAACTACCCAAAACCAAGAAGGGAGCTCTTTTTCCTAGGTTACCGGCTATCCTAAATCCCAAAGCCTAAAAGCTGAACCCTAAATCCTAAACCCTAAACTCCTAAACCCTATAAATCAATATGGAGACGGTTGCCATTTGCAGTTCCAGATTCGACGCCAGCGGAGGCTTCGGCTGTAAGATCGCGAGAGCTTTGAATGGTCTCGAGGATATGTTAGCAAATCACAAGCCCTAAATCCAAACCTTAAACCTGAGTAGTTCTCGAAGATCGCGGGCTCTCCAATAGAGCCAGGCATCACAGAAGCCATGAGCTGGGACAGCAAGGTCTGTGCAGACGTTTCCTGGGCTTTAACTGGAGCTACCATTAGCAGACTCTTCCTAGATCCTCAGACAACGGTCGGCGACTTGAAGGAGATTCTGGAAGAACCAGCAAAGACGCCTTCGGAGTTTTTAGAGATTCTCTGCGATGGGAGCAAGCTCGACGACCCTGTCTGCATGTGCGTTTTTGCTCCTTCTGTTGCTTTGCTTGCCATTCGCCGCGAACCGCCTGCCCTCCTGAGTTTCTTGAAAGTGGTTTGGATAGGCCAGTTGCTAGACGGCTCCTACTGGAGCAGTGCAGCAGAGTGGAGAGACGTGAAAGTTGCGGCGTACATCGTTGCAGCAGATCAAATCGGCGTTCAGGTCAACCAGCAGGATACTCTTTGGGATAGATGCTCGTGCCAGTGGCGTTGATTGTGCATCTTGTGTTCTTTCATGTTGTTCTTGAGGTTCTTTTGCTTCAACCCCATGAAAACTACAAGACATCTTCGTCTCTGCAAAGACGTAGGGGGCAACTAAGGTTCATTTTAGGCACTCCCGAAGAACAAGCCCCACACCCTGAACCTCTAAACCCCTAAACCCTAAGCCTAAACCCTGAACTAAGGTTCATCTTTGGCACCGTTTGCAAGAACTGCACGGCCTTGCACTATGCCGCTCTTTGCGGCCAGGCCCCGAAATCTCCTTCTATCTAAACCTCAAGAGCCCTAGACCCTAAACCTTAGCCCATAAGTTCCTGGGTAGTATAGTACCCTTTTGCCCTTTTTTTGTATGGCTGCCTTATTAAAACTGAATAGCGAGAAAAAGGATACCTTGACTATTCACGGTTCACTCAGGCACCTAGAACCCCACACCCCTAAACTCCTAAACCCGACACCCAAAACCCAAAACCCTAAACCCTAAACCCTAAACCCTAAACCCTAAACCCTAAACCCCCAAGCCAAGCCCCTATAAACCACTTCAAAGCCCAGAGCCATCGATCCCGACTCCGGCGCCCCCACTGGAAGCCCTACACCCAAATTCTTAGTTCTCCAGGATTTTGGGGTTTAGGGGGTAGGGAGTTAGTATTATTAGGGTTTAGGGTATTCGGGTTTGGGAATTTTAGGGATTTAGAGGATTTGGGGTTTAGGGCTTGGGTTTGGAGTTTGAGGTTTTCGATGTTTAGGGGCGTGCACAGAAATCGGAAGAGCTGCCACATCCATCCGTCAGGGTTGAGGGTTCCTTAATATACGAACGCTATGATTCGGCGCCTGTGCCTGCATTACCACAAACCCCGAAGGCTCCATGTACCCATGTAGTAGATACTTAGGCCTTAAAGTACCTGTATAGGGACCCCTTTAAGGCCTAAGTATCTACTATACAGGTACATGGAGCCTTAGGGAACCTTAATCTGGGCCAGGCAAAAACTTGCCAAGACTTGCTGGACCATTCCGCCTTTCGACGTGCTGATGCTCTGGCAGACGTGCACATGCCCGAAATTTTCAACTTGGGCATTGACTTCTGTGGGGAGTCTTGCACAGCCCTTCATGCAGCCGTTGCATGGGGCAGGAGCGAGGTTTGCTCGGTTCTTCTGAAGCATCCCGAATTTACTGGTGTGGCCACGGCCAATGCTGCTGGGCAGACGGTTCTTCACGTGGCTGTGCTCTTGGGGTGGCCTGAGGTGGTGGAGGAGATCCTGAGGGACGGCCGAGTGGACGTCGATGCGAGGACAAACTGCGGTCACACAGCACTGGATCTCGCTGTGCGCATTCGTCAGCGATCAACTGCTGAAAGGAACACCAGGTTGGAGTTGCAAAGAGCCGGGTTGCAATGGACGCCCATATATATATATATATATATATACGAAGATCCTTCATAGAAGGCCCCCCCCGTAGTTGATGCGCTTCCATTTTCTGAAATCATCTGCAGGTACGAGAGAATCGTGTCTCTGATCCTGGAACATGCAAGCCGCGACTCTTTCTTCGATCTGCTCCAGGAAGCCGCAGCTCACGACAGACGGCTCCTACGCGCTGCTTTAGAGTGCAATCATGGCATGAACAAGTTTCTGGCCGGTGTTCTTGTTCAAGGCCGTTGGACTGTGGAGTTGCTGCTTTCAGACAGCATTCCGGCCAAGGATGCCCGCTGCCGAAACCGTACCTTGCAGAAACAGAAGCTTGGCGTTCTTCTTTTAACTTTTGGGGTTTCTATATGAACTATAGTAAGTAGGCTAAAAGTTTAACTTGTAGGAGGGGTTCAGAAGTCAGCCAAGGAAAGAATGTCGTAAGAAGCAGGCTGTGGTGGCCAAGGCCCTTAGAAAGCAAAAGCTGGACGTATCGACCGCAGCCGAAGCACCCGCACCTTTGCCCAAGCGCCGCTTCCGGACCAAAGCCAGCAACAGCTGGAAGCTGACCGAGTTTGATTTTTGGTGTTAAGTTGCTCTGAGGTGGACTTGTACAGTGTACAGCATGAAGCAGTCCCGCAACCCGTGCCCTTTCTTGTCAAACAGTGTGACGCAGGACCGCTGTCTTCGTTCGTAGAAACATGACATGGTGCCCATGCCTACTTTGTCGATCCTACATTAGTGATTGGCTCAGCCATGTCTATTACATGTGGTGGCACGGCTGCAATCTGTATACACATATATGTTGTGTCTATGCATACGTATGTAGGTGTGTGTGTATATGTATGTGTATATATATATATGATATATCATACATACATACATACATACATACATACATACATACATACATACATACATACATACATACATACATACATACATATATATATATATATATATATCGCCTTTATGATACAGCAAGTATAAGCTATATATAGATATAGAAACACATACAGTATGCATATAATTCCACATATTCCCTTCTAGGGTAGATCCTGCGCTCTACAGCCTAAACCCCCAAACAAGGCTACGATCATCTCGAAAACATGCAGCTGCTTGCTGTGGGCGACGTTCCGGTACGCCACTTGTTGGCAACTTCATCCCAAACCCTAAAGCCCTAAAGCCCTAAAGCCCTAATCCCTAAACTAAGGGACCCTAAACCCTAAACCCTAAACCCTAAACCCTGAACCCAAATCCCTAACCCAAAGCCACGAGCTGTTCTTTCCAAGATGTGTAGGTACTTGGGATCCCCGCACCCCACATTCTTAGCCCACCTTGTTATGATTTCCATACAGGTTCCGTTGATGAAGGTAAGTTTCGGTTTAGGGTTTAGGGTTTAGGGTTTAGGGTTTAGGGTTTAGGGTTGAGGGGTTTACGGTTTTTGACTGAAAACTTTCCGGAAATCCACTGTATTCTTCCTCTTTGAACCCCAGCCCTCAGCGCCCAGCCGTTAGATGCCAAGCGCTTGTTTGCGCCTGAAACCGCATCTCTGAGCCCCTGCCTGGACCATCAAACACCCAAATACAGAGAGATGTCGAGCCTGGACACAGGCCGTACGGCTTAGCATCTGCCGAACGCTGTGAGCCTATTGTCCTAGGCGCTTAACCCTAAGCCCCCCTTCAAATATGCGTCGCTACTACTCTTTACTGATCCTGCATACAGGATTCCTCAATATATAAATTCAGGTCTATACTCTGTCATACCATACTTCAGGGTTCATGTATCTAGGGTTCGTATCACAGTAACTATACTAACTATTACTTCTAACCCCAATTCATATCAGTCCCACGATCCTCCGAGTAGTGTACCAGCAAAGCTCTATTCTTGAAGACGTGGGGATGCTTTTCGAGGCAACTTGCGACATGCCATGGAGCTGACGGAAGCTGCAGAGGGGTCGGGGGCCTCGTGTAATATCATGTGTAAGTATAGGATAATGTACAATGGGCCCGCAAAACCCTATTCCAGTTTTTAGTGGGCCCTGTAGTAGGGTCACGGTTTGGGGCTTGCAAGGTATTACAGGGGTCGGAATCATCAGCAATACCAGTCCCTTACAGTCTTTCTTCGAATTTAGTTTATCATGCCCTTGAGCAGGCGTATGGGGCCTGGTTTTGGGAATCGTTTGGGCAGGTGGTCATTGGGTTTAGGGTTCAGGGTTTAGAGTGGTGAAACGGGCTTGAGATGGTCAGAGTTTTTTTAATGTAGGACTTTCTATCAATGTGTTTAAGTTGCTTTTGGTCAAGAGTTCCCTCATGTGTCTATAGCATCAACCTACATGAGCCCCATGCAAACTTAATCAAACTGATAAACCCCACATACCCTACAAACTCTAAACTTCTTCAGCCTCCTAAATTCCCCGCAGACCCCAAACCCCCCAAACCCCAAACACATGAGAGCCTCCTAAACCCAAGCCGTAACCCCTTAAACCCCAGGCCCTAAATGCCTACGAAGATTCAGCCCTAAACCCTAAACCTTAAACCCTAAACCCTAAACCCTAAACCCTTTAAACCCTAAGCCCTAAACCCTATAAACCCTAAACCCTAAACCCTATAAACCCGTAATCCCTAAACCCTAAAGTGTCAAGCGATGGAAGCCGCACTAAAACGAAGGAGAAGGCTCCCTCAGCCCCCCGGGGGGGGGGAATCTTTGGGCCGAGTGGGTTTAGGGCTTTAGGTTGGTGGGTTTAGGGTTTAGGGTTTAGGGTTTAGGGTTTAGGGTTTAGGGTTTATGGTTTAGGGTTCAGAGTTGTTTTTGTCGTGTCTTGTACAGTGTTGTTTTGTTTGTTTTGTTTGTTTTTTTTCTGTTTTTTTAGGTCTAGTCGGGTTTAGCTTCGGGTTTTGTCGGTTGAGCATGCGCTTAGGTTTTTTGTTGCTCGGGCTATTTTGGAGTTCCAGGGGTTAGGGTTTAGGGTTTAGGGTTGTTAGTATGCTTTTTTAGTCATGGGGCCTGCCATACGGCTTAATATGTGGTTTCGCAAGCTGAATGCAATCGCACCGGCAAACCAGCAACTAGCTACTATTTTTTGCAGGATGTACAAACTTGAAACTTCATAGCTACAGTGAAACCCTTAGACTCTGTGTCGCACACGAGCGCATTAAGCCTGAGCCGCTCCGAACCACCCCCTGCAACCCTCAACCCCCCCTCTTGATACGCCCTTATAGGTAGGAACCCTTAGAGTGACCGACTCCCAAAAGCCCTAAACCCCAAACCCAAACCCTTAAACTCGAGGCCCTATCTGCGTTTCAGCCTTCAGCAGAACCAGGCCGCCCTCGAGGGTGTCTGGGTTTTGAGGGTTTCGAGGGTTCAAAGTTTGGGGTTTAGGGTTGGGGTTTTGGGGTTTAAGGTTTTTGCAAATTGTCTTCGTGGTGTTTAGGGCATAGGATTTCTAAGAGTTGTTTCTTGTGGATTGGGGGAGGGGGGTGTTTTTCAAATCTGCTTTAAGCAAGAGAAAAACTCCCGAACATCGAACATCGAAGAAGGCCAAGGGCTTTGGGATTCGGGTCTTCAGTTGGTTTGTTTCTTGGGTTTTTGCCGGTGGCGTTCTTGAACAATGACTAGCAAACCCTAGTATCCTGTCAAGAAAGAAACTTGAAGTAGTGAAGGGACTTCGGATGCAAGATTTTCTAGGGGCCGTAGGGACTTAGGGCTAATCTAGGGTTTACCTGAACCTACAAGAACCCTCTAAACCCTAAACCCAAAACCCTAAACCCTACGCTTTGTGCAGGGTCCCTATATAAATTCCGTATTAGGGTTGATGAATAGGCCTGACAGACTCTAGGGTTACCAACCCACGCAGAAACCAAAGGCTGCAAAGTTCAACTGTGCTCCGAGGTTTTCAACTGAAGGGCTAGGGTCTCTGCAGACAACCCTAAACCCTAAACCCTGAACCCTAAACCCTAAACCCTAAACCCTAAACCCTAAACCCTAAACCCTAAACCCTAAACCCTAAACCCTAACTACTCATAGCTGGGGTGAATGAAGAACACGGTTGCCGGCGAAAGCTCCTTTTCTGACATGGGTAGTTGTCAAAATTAGGGTCCCTTTTGGGGTACCCTAAATAATAGGTGCCGTATTATAATAAGGACCCAAAAAGGGACCATAATTTTGACAACCACCCACAGGAGAACACACAGTTTGGGGCTCTCGGCCTTAACCCGCCAATCCCTGTACCCTAGACACCCAAACAAAAAGAACTCTATAAACCCTAAACCCTAAACCCTAAACCCTAAACCCTAAACCCTAAACCCTAAACCCTAACCCTCCAAGATACTAAGCCCCAAATCCTGTTTGCCCCCAGAACTAAAACCCTAACGCCGCAACTCACAGAGGAAAAGCTCGAGGAGCACACCTTGGAAGTGGCAAGGTCTATAGAATTTTCAACACTGCAATCCCCTGGTGCGGAACCCTAAACGCAAACCGTAAATCCAGCGGCGTGGCACGTTCAGTTCATGATGGGGAAGACCTTCAACTTTGGTGCCCCTGTTGCCCAGAAGTGGCCACTAAACCCTAAACCCTAAACCCTAAACAGAGCAAATAGACAGTGGGGAAGCTCCTGAAAATCAGAATTTCCCGTTAGGGCGGTCCCTGGTCAACGCGCTTCGCGAAGTGATTGACCCAAACGGGTTTAGGGTTTAGGGTTTGGGGTTTAGGGATTGCTCCAGCTTCGCGATCTGAAGCAGACTCTTGACCTGCGCTTTGCTGAGAAAACCCGCCCGGAAGGGTCTAAAGGCATGCAGCTGGGACATGCCTATCATAAACCCTAAACCCTAAACTCCAAACCCACGAATTCGCACCGTGATTCCGTTCCTGCATTGCCGCTGAAAAGCAACATCCCGCTAGGTTCCGCACTGGTACCCTTTTGCCCAAAGGGCACCCGTAGTGAGCCTTAGTTTTTCAGGGGCACTAAGAAACCTAGACAACTGTGCACTCTGTCCCGGGCGGGCAATCGTCACTATATGCATCCAGGGACATGGAATGGACAGACTAGTCCTTGCCGGAAGTGGGTAACCCTCCTCGGATATGCTTCCTCACTGGAACGTTTAGCAACATGATCCTTGAGTTGTCGGGAAGATCACGACATCCAAGAATTAGGAACCCAAAAAGGACTTTATAGGGATATCCCCACCTTATGGGATATCCCTATCTTAATGTTTGCTTATGTTCTTTTTTGGGGGGCCATCAAAGAAGACCTTGACATGGTAGAGGTGCCCTGCACTGGCATCAGTCTGGCGAAAAGACAACAAAACGTTTTTGCCCGGACCATAAGGACAAACCGTCAACCCTAAACCCTAAACCCATCATGAGGAGGTAGAGGCACTAGCGCCAACTACGGGGCTGACTAGGTAACCTTTAACCTATTGGGGCTTGTATAGCCCTACTATAATTTAACAGGTTGACCTTTTTTGGGCTAGGGTAGTCAGCCCCTAAGCCAAACCCTTTCACCGCCAGCATGGTGGCAGAGAACTTCAGATCCAATTAGGCGAGGCTATGCCGCGACATGCCTCGCGAAGCCAAATGGGCCAAAAGTGCGCA